GGGCTCAAAGTTCAGGTTCATCTCTAGGTGGAAGTGACCAGGAAGATACTCCAGGTCATTGAGGAGCATGTCTATATCCACCTCCGATTCCTCCGTGCTTTCCATGGCAAGTGCCGCTGGGTCCATCCCGAAGCAGCGCTCCCGTCCCTCCCAACCTTTTCTTCTCAGAGCCAATTTGCCTGTCTGCTGACCTGCTATTCTGGTTTAGCTGATTTACAGGCAGCCTGGGAGGAGTCCTGTCTGGGAGAGGCAGTGCAGGACGCTTGCTATTCCCTGTGTGCCTGCTTGTTCAGGGCTGTCCTGGAGCCCAGCAAATCACAGGATGCCAAGACGGAAATGTCTCGCTGGGTCTGTAGCAGCTCCCCCTGTGCACGCCGTGGGGAATCAGTCAGCCAAAGGTTGCCTTGTATTTCTCTCCCTGTCGCAAAATGTCTTTGAAAATAAACAGGTTGAGGCCAAATTTCATTTCAAACACTGTCCACGCTGATCGCCACTAGCCAGGTGCAGTTGAGGGCTGCGAGTTCTGGATGCACGTGGTCTTTGGCAGCCACTGTGAAGAGGGAGTAGAGAAGGGGCTGGTCTGCACTCACCTCGTTCCTCCCAGGGCTTCTGCAGCAGCCTAGAAGAGAGCATCAGCACCGCAGGCAATGGGGCAGCGGCCTAACTCAGCCACTTGGTGTGGACGAGTGGACCGTGACTTGCCACTCAGTGGGGTGCAAGTGGCATCAGGGCTGGCTCCTCCATGGGAATGCAAGAGTGGAGGGGATCCTAATACTGTCCCACCCCGTGGTGAGGCTGACTGTAGTCAGAGAAAAAGGAGAAGCTCTGTACCCTTGTAGCGCGGCTAATGGGTGACCCTCTACACATCTGTTCAGATGGGCAGAGGTACCTGAGCCTGCCAACACAGCTGGAAAACTCTTACAAAAACAGGGTCTAAAATGTGCTCAGGAATAAGGGTTTGGTCCCAATCCAGACTCTGGATTCTGGCTGTCGGCCTGGATCTCCGCTTTGGAGCAAAACGTGGATCAGAAGGGATTGGACAGGGACAATGTCGAGGTTCAGTCTGAGGAACTCCTATTAACGATGCCGCTTTGGCTTTCCCATGTTTAGAGAAACGGCGTTGCCCACCAAGGCGTATCTTGGCTTTCAGATCCTGGGCACACCTGACCAAAATCAAGGCATCGAGGCAAAGTGAGGGACGGAAGTGGGGATCAAAGCCACCATGTCCCTCCCCTCCTCCCAAGGCAGGGCATGATGCGAGCTTTGACTGCCCTTTGACCCGAGAGCCCACACCCTGCCCCCGGTAAGGTGCTCTGAAGCTCCGCCCCCTCCAGCCACAAGGGAACAAAAGGGCACGGAGCGTCTGTCTGTGGTTGTCATGGCAGCAGAGTTCCAGAGCAGCCGGGAGCCTCGGACACCAGCCTGTGGACCAGAGAATGGGGCATGGCATCAAAGGGCTTCACAGGTGCCCCCTTTGGGACTCAAGCAGCCAGGTAAGAGCCACCCATAGGAGGCTGCAGGGGGAAAGGTTTGAGTCAGGGGAGCACTGGGGAAGGGTGCTGGGCTCAGCCACACATGTTCTAACTTGTGTGGACAGCATGCATACACATTCTTGCATACAAAGGCAACAAGGACACGTTTGTGGTTTCTTGCATACTTGAGTCACGCGCACAGCCAGCCCTCGGATTCGTGCATGCCCTCTTCACGCCTATGCCATTCGCATGCTCACGTGTCCGTGCAGCTATGTACCAGCGGTGAAGCTGCGACAATCCAAATGGAGGAGAAAATACACCTGCCTAAAAAACACCTGGCAGAATTTGTCCAACGAGATGCTTTGAAAAATGCCTCCCCGGGAATGCACAGTGATGGAGTGTCCCCTAGAGGGAAGACGTTGGCTGGCTTGCACATTGTTGTGCCACCACAAGAGTGTCTTGCAGGTACAGTATTGGGTGACTATCCTTTGAATGCCTCTGCATCAGTTACTCCAGGTCCCTCATGCTGTGAGAAATCCCTTGCCTTCAGAACTAAGCCCTGAGTAATCCTGCTACATTTCGCAGGGCTCATGACAAGCTTAAAATGAAGCACCTATGTTGTTGAAAGATAAGGCCAGAAGTCAATAACAAAGGCTTGCTATATAATAAACACTGATGTTGATGAGACTCTTTCCACTGACTTGAATGGGCAACGCATCAAGCCCTATGTACTTGCAAGGGCAGGCCCCAGGTTTGTGGTGTTAGTCCTGCTTTGCTTTGCATTGACTCAGAACACACAGGGTGTGTCTACATGTTCATTAATGAGCTTTTGCTACTGCGCATTAAGTTTAGTATATGAGGTACTACATAAAGGGGCATTAGGTTGCCCTACTGTGCAGTAGCAAAAGTGAATGCTTTTTTTTAGTGACACTTAGAATAGTTTACTGAGCATTATTGTGCATAAGCGCTTTAGTAGTTTTTTATGTGCTGCTTTAGTATGCAGTAGAATAATCTACTGCACATTAAAGCGCATGTGTAGACGCACCAACAGTGTACTTACATTATCCTATCCTAGGTTTTGTGGGCCATTGACTTACTCAAAGAAGAAGAGATCTACCACCCATGCACAGAAGCCCAATGGCAAAACGGTGTCTTCAGATGTGGTGAGTCTTTTGCTGTATTATGTACAAAGGACCTTATTATTTAAGGCTGGGATAAAAGACTGAGCAGCAGACAGGTACAGCTGTAGAAACTCTTCTTCCAGAGTTCAGCTGCCAAGAAAAGTCTGTGTGGCCCTATTCTATTGATATAATAGTCTCCCTGAATCTAACTGACCTGCTCTCCCTGAGATGGGCCCGATCCTGTTTCCACTGAAGCCCTGCCGATTTCCATGATTGGGCCCTATCTAATATATCAGCCTTTTTGCTTCCTTTTCCTCCAAGTGTATCATATCAGCTAGATTTGATGTACTGGAAACTCCTTCAAAGCACAAGGAATCCTAAGACTGACCCACAATTGGGGTAAACTGTCATTGCCCTGTTGACTTCAAGTACATGCTCTCTCTCCTGCCCTGCAAACACTTCTTGAATGTGAATTTGTAAATGCTATGATAAGACAGTTAAGGGTCTGATCTCTCCATATAAAACTAGCATCTGTCAATGGAAAAAAACAAAAAAGCATTTATTTCAGGGCAGAAACTTAGGAAGAGACTCCTCTAGGATCACCCAAACATGTTTTTCTGCTCTGCATTTCAGGGGAAGACTTCGAGTTCCAGCTGGGCAAAAGTGCAGGAAGCAGCACGGCTTTCCCAAATCCCCCATTTCCAATTTAAGGAGATATGGAAGAAAACCAAATACCTGGTGAGACTTGGGTTTGATGCTTCCTCACTATTACTGACCAGACATCTGACTGTTGTCTGGGGTTCAATCTTTGGATTGTGCACTGTGACAGTATTGATTCAAAAAGAGGAGCTGTGCTGGGCCTGGCTCTGGGGAGCTCAAAAACCTGGCTTAATACTCTATAATCCCTTTCTCACTTAGAAAGACAGACTGGGACCAGGAACTTACAACATCAAGGATTTCCTGCAAGAGACCCGGCCTTCAAGTACTAGAGGTGTATGTGACACCAGAGAAGAGAGGTTTAAAGACACCATTAGGGTATGGACTGGCTTCAAGCGCTAGAGATACTATGGTAATTTAGTAAGACAGGGCGGTAATGTGATGCAGAAGAGACATAGTAGGGCAAGAGAATGGGATGTATGTCTACTTCACAGTTGCAGCAGCAATGACTGAAAGTATAGTGTGGATGTACCTGAGCCAGCTTTAAATGAACTACTTTGGGTATCAGTCTGGCCATGGCAGCATAGGTTATTTATCCTGCTTGCTGGGTGGATTCTACAATACGTGCTGAGCTCTGTGCCATTGCAACTATCCTGCCACCAGAGCTCAAGCTAGCTCAGATATGTCTGTATGAGCTGCAGTCCCTGTATATCCGCAGGTGGAGCTCCCACCAGGCTGGAGCCAGCTCTGCCCTGGAGCAGGGTCTTCCATGTTCCTTACTGGGAGGAGCTGTAGGTCAGTGGGACCAGACTGCGCTGCCTTTGTGTACATGAGCTCCACAAGGAACCTTACCTACCCCTAGGGAGTTATGCACCTCTGCAGTCCCTGGGCTCACAGCACAGCCAGTGTGTCTCCTATACAAGTGCTCATGGTAGCAGCAAGACTGTACTTTTTATTGTGTGCTGGGCTGTAAGGACCTGTGGGATGAAGTCTGACAATGAATCAGTTCTTCTGCTATGCTCCAAAGTCATCCTGGCTCTAGGTCAGAAATTACATTGCTATTTGTTTAATCAAATTCCCTCTCCCTCTCTGTGTTTCCCCCCTGCAGGATTGCTACCCTGGCCCAGGAACTTATGGCAGGAATGGAAACCCTTATGCCCTGATAGAGGAGAAGGAAACATTTTCTGCAAAATCTCAAGGGATCATGGACAGCAGAACTGCAAAATGCATCTTTCCTTCCACAGCAGTGAGTTTGGGTTACTCATTTCCCATTCAGACCCTGGACAGACTTGTGTGAAGGCTGTTGTCTTTGGTTTGACAACGGGAAACAAAGGGAAGGCGCCATATTCGAGGCAACCCCTCCTGTACTTAGCTGCCATGTTTCTATACAGAAGGCAGCTGTTACTTCATCCCTTGCATCTTTAAAGGGCCAGGATGGGGACAGAGTTTATTTCCCCAGAGGGGTACCAAGTGCTGCATTTTCACTACTATGCTGCCTGAGGTTAGTGTGCTCCCTGCTGCAGGGCAGCAGGCTTGCACCAGGGGAAGGAAACTCAAAGGAAAGGCAAGGGAAAGAGTTCACCTGACAGTTTCCTGAAGGCTCTGGGGCTTCCCTAGATTTGGGAAGGAGAAAGAATGCCAAACCTGGAGCTTACCTGTCAGGACAGCAGCTCCAGTGGGCCCCCTCGTGGCCTGGGTCCTTCAGGAGCTGCGCTGCCATAACCGTGGAGTTCCCTGCAGCTCCACACCCCTGAGGTTGTGAGTTTCAATGTTGCTTGAACTTACCTAGCTTTGTCCCACAAATCAGTGAAGTATCAGTGGACAAGGCCACAAAGACTGGCTGCTTCTCATCCACTTTCCTGCCCCCAGCTCCCTGCCTCCATGGAGCAGCTACAGAAGGACAAAAGGAAACAGTTCAGCGCCTATCCTGGGCTTTCCCAGGAGTGTTGTAGCTGCAGGACCAGAGCAAAGGCAGCTAAACAGTGAGGGCTGGTGCAGGTCACTCCAAAGCTGCCATGCAAAAGGATTGACACTCCATTTCTTGTTCACCAACACCATGATAATATCACCACTAAGGTCTATTTTTTCTCTACCATTTTAGGGAAGCGGTTTGGGACCAGGCACCTACAATCTCAAAAACAGCATAGATGAGCTGCTGAAACATGTGGTCAGTAAACGAGGTCCATATGACACCTTCTCTGGAGACAGGTCAAAGCCAGTTATCTCTGGGCATTATGCTGTTGAGGTAGGTACCCCCAGCCCACTGATAGGCAATCGTGACGTCTGCTCATTGATACAGTTAAACCTCCTCCCAGATTGTTATTAGAAAAAGGCTGCTGCTAGGTTAACTACCTTTTTTATTTTAAGTAGCCCTTGCCATTGTACTGAGGGTCTTAGATGATTAACATTCAGTGCCTGACCCTCCATGGGGATACATTAGCTCAGCTCCATTTATGTCAATGTAGCTACATCAAGTTGCCCTAGAATCTGGCTGTGACATACAAACCATTTAAAGGGTAAAGCTTTAAAGGCTTATGATCTATTTAAGGCTTTATCATACATCAGCAACTTTGTGGTAACTGCCCACCTGCATGCTCTTACCCAGTGGTAAGTGAAAGCCCACCTGTGACAGTTTAGCTCCACTTTGGAACTGGATCAGATCTCCTCACCAGCACATGTTGTGGTTGATCCCAGGAGCCATGGGGTCTATTCAGACAGACACGTCACACGTTCTCTTCCAGCAATGAACACTTCTTTTCCTTCGTTCCTCTAGAAAAAACTTTATGAGCCAGGTGCCAGCAATCCCAAGAGCTTTGTGGAGGAGCTGGAGACAAAGAACAATAAGAAGAAAGGTGCTTTCAGCACGCTTGCACGAAACCCAGGCTGCCCCACGGAGCGAATCTTCTGGGCTACACTCAGCCAATGTCCACGGGACACGGTGGGTGATGCCCTGTCCTTTTCCTCTCTTTTCCCTTGAGTAAATGATGGCCCTTGGTGCAAATACGCAACTGGGAAGCCAAAGGGAAAGGGTAGAAAACCATGTCTACCTGACTCTGAACTCTAGCAAGCTGTGCTGCTCAATACAGCTTCCTAGCTCTGTATGGTGCCAGATGTGGGCTCATTAGCCTGGGTCTGCAAATAAATTGGTCACTTGGAAGCTGGGGTCAAGTTAGAAAACCATGGGGGGAAGGGGAACAAGCATCAGAGTAGCAGTGGGAAAGTGATTAGGCCTGTACCTGGTAATGTTCTCTCACTCCATTTAATTGCATAACATGGTACTAGAGTAACCATTTCCTGGGTATGTCCATACTGCAGAGGCCAGGGAGTGTAGACATGATGCGGCTATGGCAGCACGGACCTCACTGGAGTTGTGAAACCCACCTAAGAAAGCAGGGCGATGCTGAGGTGCCTGTCCTGACTCCCTGCTACCCCACCCACATGCAGCACTAGCAGGGCTGGAGCCAGCTACTTTAAAAACAGTTGGGTTTGCCTACACCAGCTGCCGTCATAGCAGTGACTAAGCAGCCAGTGCCAATGTACCCTCCGAGTATAAGTAACTCCTGGGTGCATACTGGCTGGCTACAAATGAACGCAAACAGCTGAATGCATTTGGCAGAACATAAGCTCATACATGCACCAGCAGGTAACCCTGTGTTGGCTCGCTCACCTGAAAAGCCTCTGGATTAAAATAATTGCCTCCATTTGCTCAGCCAAACATGGTGAACAAATTGCTTCTCACACAGTATCATCAATCACAAGTTATTGGAGAATAAAGCCTGCTAATTGGGATTGACGTTTTGAAGCCTCTGGACGCTGGTATCTAGCCCTGCTCTCTACTTTGCTTGGAACTGTATGTGTTCAGTGATGTTAAGATGAATTTTGAGTGATCCCATCCCAGTCAGCAAAGCAATGAACAATACACTGAATTTCAAACATCAGTGAAAACCCCCAGAGACTGAAACAAATTCTTAAAGTTACATATACAACATTAAATGCTTTGCAAAATAATTTTGGTAATTCTAATAATCATGGGTCTCACTTGATCTAATCTCCCTGTGATTTTAGATCAAGTCTACTCAGGTTATATGGGAAAGGGTAGTATATTTAATACCATCATGACAAACTTATCCTGGGATCTGATGGTCAAGCAATTCTTTCCTCTCAATCATCATCCAGGCTCCCGTAACTGGAGTCTAGCTAATGATTTTGTTGATGCACGAGGAGTATAAACCTTGCCACTGTCCTGCAGCTGTGCAGCCCTGTCTTCAGGGCTAATGGGATTAAAGAAAAGCTAACAATTTACCCCAGCCACTAACGTCAGCAAATATGACTCTGAATTCATACAGGGAAAAGAATGGCTGAATAAGGAGGTTTGGATTGTTTTTTTTCCTGTAGTCACTTTTACAAACCCAGCTGCACTGCAAAGCTCCCGTTGCATTTGGTGGGAGCAGGAGCAGGTTTGTACTATGCTGCATGTAACTAGAAGTGGGTATTCATGCTGTGGAGTGGTGGATCATTGTGTTGAATTCTAACTGGAAATGTAGGGCCAGTGGCTTCTTGGATCTCCAGTGTTTCTGGGGAGCTTACTCCCATGGGTGCAATGAGTTTACTTCCTGACCTGTATCTCTAGCAAAGAACTGTTTCTCAGCTCTGTGGCTACCAGAAGAATTCAACGTAATCACTGATTCAGCCAGGTAATTAAGCAGGTGTCTAAGGCTAAGCATGAGTGAGATCCTTGCACATGAACCATGCTGAAATAGAACCTAAATGAATCTCCCTGCCTTTGTGCAGCTGTCACTACTTTGCATTGTAACTTGTCGCACTTTGTTGTAGTATGCTGCAGGGCCAGGCTCCTATGATCCAAAGCCCATTGAGAGATCAGACTATGATAATCAACCTCCATTTTTGTCATCTGCAAAAAGATTTGACAGGAGATCATGCCGTCTCTTTTTTGCAAACTCCGTGAGTAGAAAATGACTGGTAAGACATATCGAGGCATGAAAATTCCCAGGCTCTCAGTTCCTTCCATGACAATCTCATGCCTCTTACTGACATCTCAACTTAAGAAGGGGATTCTTGGAAACCCAAATGTAATACTGTTCTGCTTGCTTATGGGGTAGCAGAAGCAGCAGTGGAACGCTGCCTCCCTCAGCCTGATCCAAAGACCATTGAGTTCAATGGAAGGAGCCCCATTGGCATTGATCTCTTTCCCTTCCCCTTGAGTCACATAGTGGCAATCTACGGTGCTCCTAATGCTACTCGTCTACAGTGGCAGGTGATGACCTGTCTGAAAACGTTTCCCCACAAAAGGGCAGTTTCAACTCTGCCTTATATACATTAGTTCAAGAGTTATCCGAATCCTGTTTATTACTTCAGATGATCCACTCTCTGTTATCCACAGCATGACTGGAAACAGACCCAAGTGGAATTGTGTGTGTAGGACAGCGTGTACAGTTACATATGCTGGTAGGACACAAGAGGTTCACGTTTGGTGTCTTAATGAGATTGTGGGTACTCTGGGATTCTGGTAGGAGTGCTCTCTGCCAAAATATACTGTATTTCCTCTTAACTCTGATTACTCCATGGAGGAGTGAGGATGCGAAAAGACAGTCTTCAGCTGCAGTTACTGGTTCTGTTTTCTGTCAACTCAAAATTTTGTGTCCTGCTCTCCCTATGGGAACATTATGTGGGTGTAGGGTACAAGCTGCTGGCTTCAGAGGTGGGTGCATTTCAGATAGTATGTAAGACTGGCCGTCTAAAGAGGAAGTTCAAAACTTTCCGTTCCATAGGCTCATTTGCTAACAAGGGTCCTTAACATATACGTCTTGGCAGTGGAGCCCCCAAATCCGGATAGATCTAGAGGCAAAATTTCTAAGTTTTTGACACTGTGAAGTCCTAGGGTTAGTGGAAACTAAACAGCAGTAATTTTTTTTGTCAAGGGAACAGTTCCTTAGGGTAGTTTTTACTTATTCTGGGATAAAGCAGACACACAAAACAATTATTGCAGATCAGCTAGTATATGGTAGGCCCCCCTTCTTAATTCAGTATTACTGTTCTGTCTGTCAGATCAGCATCCCCTGCTGCCATTGTTGGTGTAGGCATTATGCTGCTTTATGTCAGACAAGGGATTCACCTCAGTCTCTTTTAGCAAAAAATCCTTTTCCCTCAGTTCTTTGTAATAGCCTGTTACTGGCCTCCACCAAGTGGTTGCATTTCAGTGGTGGTTTAAATTAAATGATAGAATTGAATTCTTTGGGTGCAAAGCACTATTTCTTTATAACCAATAAAGTCACATCCTGGGCGCATCTACATGGGCCCCTGACTGTGCATTTGGTACCACACAGTCCCAGCGGCGCAGTTATTTTTTAGATGCTATGGTGACATAATGTCTCATGTAGACGTGTCCACTGTTACTGAAAAAACACCATTTCCTCTGGCTGCAGCATATTGAAGGGGTGGTATAAGGACTGGAGTCCTTTCCTTACTGTCCTTATAGCATCTATATTAATCTTCTCAGATTTCCCATGGTGAACTAAAATAAAATCTAAAGGGCTCAAAGATGCCATGAAAAGCTTTAATTTGAAATAGCCCACCTTGGGGAGCAACAAGGAACAGACTTCCATGCCGTTTCCCTCCTTTATGCAGCTGAGCAGGGAACAGACAACTTGAAAGAGGTCAAGGATGAAGACTGCTGTATAATTGATGGGAGAACTCTGCAGATTAAATTTCCGTGGCAAAGTTTCTGTAAAGCTGAACTCAACTACAGTTAGCTGTAGGCAGTAGGGAAATCACATTACAGCAAGGGGAATTAATCATCTCAGCTTCCTACGGGGTAACTATCCCTGTAGGATCTGATCGTTATGGTTAATTGTAAGGGCTCCAAACCTGAATCAAGGTCCCAGGTTCTTAACTTCCTCATTCTCAAGTGTAGTCCTTGTTTTTGTTAAAACAACTGATTTTTTTTTAAACGTATGCCCCGATCCTGTTCCTCTGTAAGTCATTAGCTGACCTCCCATTTGCTCCATCAGTGTGTAACTGCCCCATAAGTAAAAGAGGAACACGTTTGACTTTTTCATTTCAGAATCCTGTTGGTGTTGGCCGCTATGACATCACAAAACAAGAAAAAAGTGCTCGGAAGACATACCGTTTGCTTTACCTGTGTGATACGCAACGCTACCTGAACGACCTGGAGCGGGATGCGTGCTTTTTGTAAGTGAAATGTATCTTCACGGGCTGCTTGAAGTTAGTAATGTTTTAACACTGGCACATAGTAAAGCCTCTAATTCTTGCCAGCGGCCAGGAGACCTACTGCAGGTTACTGACTCTTCAGGTGATAGCCTACATTCTGGAAGGATACTCTTGAGTTAGAGGCCAGGACTGGGATTCAGGAGATCTGAGTTAATGACTAAACACATTAAAGATGGTTAGATGCTGAGACACAACAGCAGCTGGATCTTTTAATGTGATCATTACAGTTTGTTCTGTTAATAAAATACATGATTCTGATAAATTAGTGATGAGTTTAGAGAGAAATCCAAGGTCAGCCTAGTGCAAACAAAGCAGCACTGGCCAGCAGACAGTTCACTGGAGTAGGAATCAGGACATGCAAGTTCTCTTCCTGGTTTTGTTGCAGCATTGCTAGGTAACTCCGAACAAGTCTTTTTATCTCCCAGTGCCTCAGTTTCCCATCTCTAAAATGGCCATAGTAGTAGCGTGTAGATGAAACAAGAGGCGTGTGTGCATGACACTTTAAAGCAGGCTAAATGCTTTTGCACTGCTTTAATGCTGCTTTAATGGTGCCAGTGTTTGCATGCCTCGGTGGCATATTGCGCATTAATTCCAGCCGCTGTAGGAAATTTGGCAGCTATATGTGCCTTAAATAACTTGGGGTGAAACTCCTGAAAGGAGTTTTAGTTTGCTGCCCTACAGCCACGGAGTGAAGCTTTTTTTTTTTTTAAGAAATTTTTCGTGTTCCAAGCCAAGCCAGCCAAATTGTGTCCAAATCCATGAGTCAGTCTAGAACCATAACTGGCACTACAACTGGCAAACATCCTGCATCCCCACCAGGGGCTTCAGATATTTCCAAAGTCTTTTGGTGGACATCCTATGTGCAGGCCCAAGCCCAGAGGCTTGGGGTTCAGAAGGCCTCAAGTTTCACCTGCCCTCAGCCATATGGCTGCAGGAGCAAGCTAGGGAGGAGCCTCCCATTTCCATAAAGTGGGCTTTAACCCCCAGCACCTTGGTGGGTACTAAACCATGCCAAAAGAACTATTATCCCTGGGAGGCTTAAGAAAAACTGCCTTCTTGGACCCAGATACATGGTGTTTCCTCTGCCAGGACCCAGGAGTCTGGGCATCTGTTGCTGCCCACTTCATGCCTGGCAGCAGCCGGGGAAAACAGGTTCTGCCCAAGAAAAGCAGCGAGCCTGATCTCCCCCTCCCAAGCCTGCCTGCCTGTCTGAACTGTGTGGGGGCCTGGTGCTTCCCTCCATGGCTGCAGTGCCCCCCAGGACTACCCAAGCCGGGTGACTGTGGGCAGGTGCCACCTGGTGGAGGCCTCTGCTGCCATGGAGGGAAGCACCAGGCCCCACCCTCCCCAGCCCAGGGACCACTCCACCTGCCGGCAGCTTGCCCTCCCCTCCCCGCCAGAGAGGCAGGTAAGTCAGCAGGGTGTGTGCATGACACAGGGGTTTAAATCAGCCCTAAACTGAAGCAGTGTTGTTCTTTTAAACTCACCACTTCAAATTAGGCCCCCTGTTTCATCTACACATGCCCAGTGATGCTTACTGCCTCTGTAAATCGCTTTGACATCACTGGAAGAAAAGCACTACATAACATACTGGTAGTATCATCAGTTATGACTGTTTACTATACTTTCTGCTCACTCATCTTTCTTCAGGACTAAGGATTAGCAAAATTCTATTACAGGTCTGAATAAAGGTCTAGCATAGCTCTGTCAGAATTATTTCTACTTCTCTTTCTTGATTTCTGGATAATTATTAGGCCCTTGTCTTTGCCAGGGTTGCAGGGTTGTAACAGAGGGCAACATTTGGTGGCTGCAGGTGGAACTCAGCTAGGAAATCTTTTGTCGATATAGTAGCCATAACAGAATGCAGTTTTCATATTATCACAAGTTTGTGAGCTCTACCATACTAGTACTAATAAAAACAGGCACTTGTGACTGAATACAAATGCATTAGGCAGAACTTCACACTGAAATAATACTTACCTAGAACTCACTTTTCAGGACAGTGTTGCATTTTAAAGTTAACAATCAAGCATTACTGCAGCCAAGCTCGGGGTTTCTTTTTCTTAACACTAATTAGGACAGAACTAAGTAATATAGTCACTAATTTGTGTCATCTTATTTTATTTTGTCTTTTCCTCCTTTCCAGAGAGCGAATCAAGCCTGTTAGTAAAAGCTATTGGCGCAATTTAGCTTCTGCTTCCAGTGAGCCAGATCGGTCTGCACAAGCTGCTGATTCTTCTGAAAATTAAGTCCATGCTGGAAAGCAAATATCTGTGGATAAATTATTAGAGAGATGAGTTATAAGACAACTGCATACAGATCAAGAGATTGTAAAATGACCTTGTTTTTCTCTGTCCTAAAATCCATTTTGAGCTACCAGCTACCTTCCACTGACAATCAGTACTGAGCGGTCTTCACCTTGGTTTGGGACAAAATGACACAATTTACAGCAGGGGCATTTAGTAGAATGTTACTTAGGCATGCTTCCTTCAAAGGAAGGTTTGCCATGCAAAGCTCATTCAACATTAATATTCCCTTTTTCATCAGTGATTCAAAGAAGCGCATGTGTGCCTTGTTTGCACCATAGATGGTCTATGTATTGCAGTTGACAGCTCTTGTTCTCAAACTAAACAGAAGGGATAAAAGCCAGTCCTACCAGGACCTAATGCTACAAAAACTAGAGGCACATGTTTTGAACATTGCATTGATTGAAAACGGTGAGCCCTCTGGTGGCCAAAACCTCAGTATTTTGGTGATATTCCCCAGAATCTGTTCACCTTTGACTGTCTGCACTGTAATCACAGCTGTGACTGCATCCTGCACTAAATAAGCTTTAAATTTTAGCTAGGACAGGAGCTACCAGAATTGTATTTACTCAAGTGTTTCAGGCAGCTTTTTACAGCGTGCATTGAGCTAAGTGCTACTCCAGCTCCACTTCTAGCAGTACCTGTGCTTGGGAAGGTCCACACAAGGCGCAGGGACAGCAGCAATTGCTGCAGAGACATACCTTTAAGTGGGTAAATACAGTCACATTATAGTTCAAAAAGTAATGAGTGAAAATCCTTTATAATCTATTTTGTCAGTAATGCAGATTTGCATAGTGAGCCTACAGTAATATACAGCAGTACTTTATACAACACAAGTGAATATACCATTCTTTCACTATGTTTGTTTTTTTCTAGCAATTAAAGATTCTTATCACCCTTTTAAACACATTCCTATTCTATACATGAAATTAGTGCCACAGAGAGACAGAGTCACAGAGCATGGCAAGTTCAGGACTAGGAACAGAAACCAAGACAAACCTCACAACTTCGAGTATGTCTATGCAGTTTTGCAATTGCTGCTCATGCACCCATGCCAAGTGAGCCAGCATGGCTACTGCTGGCAACTCAGCAGGAGAGCTGTGTGGGTCTCCAAACCAATCCTTAGGCGAGTTCTGCTGCTGTGGCTGAGCCACAGCTGTACCACTACAATTACCTAAGATAGCTAGGTTAAAAAAACCCTCATTACCCGATCAGGACAGCCATGTTAGAAGAGCAACAACAACCAAATTGCTAGCACTAAGGTGCAATTTCTCCAGTTCTAGACTTCTGGATATGGCTTATCAATCACAGTTGTAGGGGAGAAACTAGCATCATCAATGGGAACATTATGAATCTGGTAGAAAGGTAAACCTATAAGTGGTGAAAGACATGATACAGAAAGATGCAAAACCCATCCTGTTCTCATTCACCCACCCCTGTAACCTGGACAGGCAGAAAAGGATCTTTGAGTCATTATTGATGCCAAAATGAACATGGGCCGGCAGTGGGGGGACGCAGTCAGGAAGGCCAACCATACCTTGTCATGCATCCACAGATGCATCTCAAGCAGGTCCAAGGAAGCAATCCTCTCTCTCTATGTGACACTGGTCAGGCCACAGCTGGAGTACTGCGTCCAGTTCTGGGCGCTGCATTTCAAGAGGGATATGGACAACATGGAGAGGGTCCAGAGGAGGCCACTCACATGATCGAGGGGCAGCAGGGCAGGCCCTACGTGGAGAGGCGATGGGACCTGAACCTGTTCAGCCTCCACAAGAGAAGGCTGAGGGGGGATCTAGTGGCCTGTTACAAACTAGTCAGAGGGGACCAGCAGGCACTGGGGGAGTCCCTGTTCCCCTGAGCACTACCAGGAGTGACAAGAAATAGTGGTCACAAGCTGACAGAGGGGAGATTCAGGCTAGACATCAGGAGGCACTGCTTCATTGTCAGGGCGGCTAGGAGCTGGAACCAACTTCCAAGAGAAGTGGTGCTGGCTCCTACCCTGGGGGTCTTTAAAAGGAGGCTGGATGAACACCTTGCCGGGGTCGCTTGACCCCAGTACTCTTTCTTGCCATGGCAGGGGGTCGGACTTGATGATCTGCTCAGGTCCCTTCCAACCCTAACAACTATGAAACTATGTTATGGGAAGATACTGGAGAAATGTAGAAAGTATAAAAGACAGCAATAAAAATATATAATCTGGACTAGTTAATCTTTGCAGGCTCTATTAATAA